TAAACAGTGACCAGTGATGTTAGGTGAACCTACGTAACCCAAAGACTGTGATTAGTGAATACTTTGCCAGCTTCTGTTACCAAAGGAATGGAAGGCGTCAGGCCATCCACAGGTCTGCTAGTGAAGGGTGGTTGGGAGAATCCCTGCATTACTGTTAAGGAACTGCGTTCCAGGGCACACTGCTGGCAAAAGCTGGCCTAGACCATGCAATCCTCAGCATTTTGATTCTGTTTCCCTCAAGTGAAAGCTTTTTGTTCACTCGCCTTTAACAAATGTATGTTTATGTATTTATAACTTCCTACAGCACAGTCACTGGCTAATATTGCAAAGCATGATGTGCTTAGGGTGAGGTCTATCAACAGTGAGAATGGATCTCAAGCCACATTCCCAATCGTGCCCTGGACCTTTTAATTCTTTCATCTGACTTCTTATCAGATGTGACTGGGTCATTTTTTTTTAACTTCATGATGTGGCTGAAGATAAGCATGTACCAGGACTAGAAGTGTCACCTCCACTATTTAATATTCGCTTGTGGATTGCCTCCCCATGGTCACTTCAGGATACCTCCGTGTGGAGTGTGATGTGTGACTTCTTACATGTGCACTAAATCTATTTAGAAGTTCTAGTATTTTCTTCCCACACCCCTGGGGTATGTGTGCTCCACTTTGGAGACTGCTGTCCTTATAACCGCTCAGAGATATTTAGAAAACCAATTAAAAATGACTTCAATGCCAAAATGTCAAAGATGGAGACTGGCAGAGTCTTTCTGGATCAGTGGAGCCCATCTCTCTGCTAAGGCAAACCCTGAGGCTGAACAGAGATGTCTGCAGCCACTTTGGAAAGTTCTCAGGGGAGCACTAGCTCAGCTACCAACAACTAGCAGCAGAGCAGGTGTGGCTGCTGCATTATCAGATGCTCTTCACAAACTGAAAACTCACTCAGAAGCTGTATAAAAAGATTAAACTCCGGGCCGGCTGAGTGGCGCGATGGTTAAGAACTGGCTTGGGACGCCAGAGGGCCCCGGTTCGGATCCCACATATGAGGGCCAGTGACACTGCCCT